TAAAGAAGACAAGGGTCTGTGCTTCTTTTTATATCCGATGATTTGCTGTTATCTAGCATCATCATCCTATATCTAATGTAAATAGAGTCTTGGTCCTTATTTGCCCAAATCATATATGCAATTACTTGCATCTACATAGACAAAAATGGGAGAATAACTTACTAGGGTTCATGTATGTCAGCTGCTCTGTATATAGAAGCTTATTAGGTGCAGAACTGAATCAGAAATCACCTTTTTAGGTGGTTTGACAGTAATTCAACTTGACTAGTCAGTGCCATCAGTCCGTGCCTTTGTATGTACCTAATTAAAACAAAAACTATGGCAATTTGCAGCTAACAATATTGCTGATAGCCTCATTATTATGCTTATAGAAGAAAAAAAGGAGCTTTCATATCTGGAAACACTCTCTGCAGTGTTTGAGACATTGTAGGACAAGGAGGTTTGGAACATTGTGGGCAGCATAAATGCAATTTTAGATAAAATTGATTTTAGAAGATGTCAGTCTGACTTCATGAATTTACAGAGAAAATAATTTTCAAAGTTGATACAGTGATGAACTAGTAATCATAAATACCTAGGCTGACTCACAGGCTAGGTACCCCATAAAGCCCCATTTAAAATCTAGTTCTCATTTTATTAGTGACCTTGAGTTTGGGTGGTTCAAAATGAGCCTGCTGTTCGTTAGAGACTGGCTGATGGCTTGGCTGTGCGAGTTGAGTTTTTGGGGTGAGGAAGGAGGAAGCAGGGGAATTCGCATTTGGGTGTCTGAGCCATGTCTTCCATTTTGGAGTAGTGCTAGCCAATGATCTATTTGCCCTTATTTTTGTTGCTGTGGTTTAATGAGAAGTGCTGATTTCTGCTGATCTAAGGCCTTGACAGATACCTGGATTCTTGACCTCCAGAGCCATGAAGGATATGAGCTGGTTCTGCGGTGGCCAGCGGTTACTGGTGCAGTGGATGTAACACGATTCTCCTGGCACGTAATTGCTTCTGAAGTCAAGGGCAGGCAAAGCACCCCCTTTCACAGTTAGGTGGCCAACACCACCATTTCCCTCTTGAAAACTTGCCTAATGTTAATACCATAAATGTCTTATATAGGGGCTGTAATGTAGAAACTAGAAATTGACTCTTGTTCATGCTATAAAACTAATAGTTAAGGAAATGTCTTGAAGCGATGTTGTAAGTTAATCTTAGAGCTAGCTTATTTATCCTGGTATGAAGGTTTTAGCTTCATCTGCTAATGATATCGTGGCTGAAATGCTAATAGCTGTGGAGGCAAATTTACGTGACCTTTTCCTTTGCTTTGGGAGTGATCTCCGTGCATGCAAATGAAGCACTTTTCTGAAGCTATGTAATTACATGCAGACAACTGCTCCACTCATCACTTTCCACTTTTCATAGTCCCTCAATATGCCCAGCCCTGTGGTGATGTGTCTCACAGGATTATTCATAACTGGTTCTACCATAGAAGAATAAACACAATTTTAAAGCAAATCAATATTTGCTATCCTCACTTTGTTGTTGAATATAGAGGCTGTGGCTTCTTGTGGTATTGCAACAAAAATGGCCTTTGAGGAGAGATGTGAAAGGGGAAGAAGTGGCATAGAAGTGAAGGCCTGAGCAATTTCCAGGCTGGTAGGGAAGGAAATAGTGCCATGAAGGGAATGAGCTGAACTTACTTTTACTGTTTCACATTAGCTTAGCCTTGAATTTGTTTAAGTGGTCTTTGAACTAGCTTGGTTTTATTCTGTGACAGATCAGTGTCCACTGCTAGACGGTTTGACTCCTTCTTCATGACTCCTTATTTGCAAGCTGGCTTGGGTGCACGTGTTGTTCCTGAACCCAGTTCTGCTTTCCTCCAGGATACAGCACTAGGGCAAAGATGTGCACAGGCTGCAGGAAGGCTCCTCAGCCTCCCAGAACACCCTTTTTCCCTGGTAGGGTTGTCTTACTCCCTAAATTACAGCATCCAATAGCTGTGCTGTACCCGTACACTTTGATATAGGTACCAGGGCCTTGCAGCACCAGAGACCATGTTGTATTTGAGATCATTGGGACAGCAGGCACGGCTGCTGTGCGGTGGTCAAAATTTCTCTTTGTGTTTTTAATTGTCTCTTATGTCAAGGGCTGAGCTGAGCTTAACCAAAATGGCAATTTCTAACTTTTACTACCTTCTTGCATTACATCTTTGAATTCAAGCCTCACAGCAGGCAGCCTCTTTTCCAGCATAATGCATTGGATTTGTCTGCAGGCCTGCCATATGGTGTGTGTAATTATTATTTTATAATGGTGTTATTGCTCTCTAGCTGCCCAGTAAACCCAGTGCAGTTTCAGTCAGCTATACACAACAGGGTAGGAACTTTGGACTTGAATGATTTTCTGCACTTTTACACAATAGTAGGTGCAAAAGAGAAAAAAAGATTCCATTTAATTTATAGAAACTGTATAAAGTTTATAGAGTCCCTACAATCCCCACAAATGAAAAGGTTGTGGAGAAGAGAGGCTGTACCAAAACTGGGAGGTCCACAAAGCTAGCGAAGAATAACAGTTAAAGGTACACATCCATAAATACCTGTGCTGCACTTTTCCCATTAACTCCAGTCAAGCATATGGACTGCATTAGGGGTTGGTCCGCCTAAGGGATTTTTATAAACACATTTCCTCCCCCTTTCTCCTCCCCATCCAGTTACTATTGCTTTAGTCTATTACAGAATCACATGGTGTCTCCTCTAGGTCGTTGTTCTTACACGCAAGAGTTTGTTTGCTGTAGAAATATTTACTAAATGGTGTCCAGAAGTTGTGTGCATATGCATGGGCTTTCCTGAACGTTCCTGGGGTTTTTTTTTGGTGCACAAACAGTAACACCAGCCTGGCTTGCCCACCCTTTCAGGCATATGTGCCTGGAACTCTAATTCACATTGATGGCAGAATTTCTGCAGCAGAATTAAAAGCCAGGATGTGCTCTGGTTTGTGGGTAATCTGTTAATAAACACAGTTCTCTCTTGCATCCTTATTCACCCTGAAATTTGAGATTGCCAAGGGGACTGGTGAAAAATAGACCCTCACTGAATCCAATCCGCTGTTGAAATTAGAAAATATTTTTCCTCACTTCCTTGTACGCCTCTGTGTTTTCCCTCTAGTTTTGGTCAATATTGAAAATTTGTATAGCGAGCCCATTTTCCAAGATCTCTTGTTTTCCCTGCAACCCCGCAGCGCCCATCCAAGCAGGCCTGAACGACTCAGACCACCGTGAGAAAGAGGTAGCGTGAGAAAGAGGTGGCCCCTTGTTCCTCTGATAGCTCTTGCTTCTGCCGGGCCTTCTCCTTTGCGCGTATGTTTGAACAGAAAGAAGTGTATCTGGGAGTAGATGATTAACTTCCACCTCCCTTCAAGGTTCATGTTGAAGGGCTCGGTTGCTGCAGTTACGCCCTTGGCGGCGCGCGGCCTGTGTGCCGTGCGATGGGGAGCGCGCAAAGCCGGGGCAGGGCCGCCCTCGAGAGACGCGACACGGCCCTTAGCTTATTGTATTTTGAGATTTGTAGGCAGTAAATGCCGCGGTGATTTTACTGATGTTCTGGAGCCCTCATGTAATTTACAGTTTCATTTGTGGAGAGCTGTTTCAAATCTGTGCACATTCTTCTAAAATATTTTAAAAGAAAAGCCAACAGCAATAATTAGTTTGGCGTTGTCTGTGTTTTCTAAAGCACTTAAAGGTTAATGACTTTTTTTTTATTCAATCTTACATAAAATTGGGTTTTACAGGAATAAGGGGGCTTAAAAGGCCTGAATGGCTGTCAATGACGGATGTAATTCATGCTGAAAGCTCTATTCCAATACATCAAAATAAGGAAAACAATTATATATATGATTAGAGGCTGCTGACTCTTGAGTTAAAATGATCAAAAAGGACAGTATTAAAATTTGATTTACGGAAGCTACTACTTAGCCTATAATTTGCCTGACCAATAAAAACAAGTCAGACTTTTATAGAATGTCATTTCCCAGTAGATAGGTTAGCTATTTTCTCATGACTGAAGAAACACAAAATGAGTTTAAAATATATTTGATATGTTCTTCGAGTAAATTGAAATGCAGCATATAACTACTTTTAATGTTCTTTGTTCATAAATTGCCAGATTTCCTTAATTCAAGTGAAACTTGAGAACCACTTGAGAATAATTGTCTCTAAAATGAAATATTACTTCTTCAGTCTGCTTCATTTATATTAAATGTATGTGTTACTCTTTTATATTAGAAAATAAATGAAAGTTGGTCAGAAATATGATTCCTCTTGCACTTTTGCTCTCGTTCACTATGGAAATGGATTCAGGAAATGGCACATGTGATTAAAAACTCTTCAACTGGCACAAGAGTTATTTGTCCAGCACCTAGCATACAGCACTTCTGGCAAGGAACAAGCGCTCCTTGTCTAGTTGCAATATAAATAAAATGATTCTTTGATGTAGAGACTGGAATTTTGATTTAAAATGACTAGGTAGAAGATGGAGAAGGTTTGAGGAAGCTTTTCCATTCAGAGGCAAGAAGACAAGATTGTCATGTTCTCTAATGTGCTCTTGTTTCACAGTGTGTGCGAGTAAGTACGTTGGAATCCACACGAACCCAATTTCCAGGAGGGTGGCAGGGCAGTAGTCCTATAAATGGACATACCCGGGTCAAGCTGCTTGCTCAGAGTCTAACAGCACCGCAGAGCTGCGCACACATGAACGTTCACCTTTAACTGCTACACTGACTGCAAACCTAAGAGATTTTTTTCAACTTACTTTAAAATGTAGCTGCAACTGGATAGATTGCGTCTGGGCAATGAATCAGAACAAAAGACCATGGCTCAACCTTATGTCTCCTTATCTAGGTGGACTACATTTGCTTTATTCACAGGGCTCTGATGAATCCTGTTTTTTGTGCATGAATTTTTGAGTTTTTTCTGTAAGTTTCATCTCTCCTGGAAACTTAAGTGCAGTGTTTTTGTCTCTTATTTCTAGTGGAACGGGAAAATGTACAGAAGAGGACCTTTACCAGATGGATAAACTTGCATTTGGGGAAGGTAAGATTGACAAATAGTCAATTGATAATCAGGTACGAGGACACAAGAGACAGACTACGGTTAACTCCTTTAAAAATGAATGTAGTTGAAATTTGGAATCAAAGTTGATGAGTGTGCATATGTGGAGGTTTGGAGGGGAAGAAGGGGAAGCTGAAAGCAGGTTTCTGGGTAATGAAAATTGGTTTTAAGGTACAATGAATGTGTGGCTGGTTTTAGTTCATCTCAGATACACGTATGTACGTAATGCTATTGGGTGTTAACATGAGGCTGTAGAATATACTCACAAAAGTTCAGGTTGGGTTCAGGTTTTTCTGAATTGATGATAATTATGTTATTTGCTGGAAGTTCCAGTGTTCAAACCATCACAGCCAAAGATGTATAGTTCTTCAGACTGTGGCTCAGTCCCAGATCTTCAGATGGGCAAAAATAATTGTCATTAATCTTATATATCATGGATCTTAACATATCCAGCTGTGTTAGAGAACTAATTTTTATACTTCCCATCATACTTTAAGACTATTTTTTTCTTGATCTCTTTTGTATTATACTATCATATGACTACTGAACCTAATTTACAATTCCTATTGGCAGTAGGTAAATACTAACACATGCAAATAGTTGGCCATCTAGAGAGGGCCTGTCCTGATGATGAGAATGAGAGGACTGCAGAAAAAAATCCTTAGTATTGCTGACGTGGTAGCATGGTTTATGCAGGCTCAAGGCATGAGTCCAACATACAGAACTTGGACTATAGTTTGGGCTTCCCAATGCCTTTAATATTTGTGGCTAAATTTCATGAAGTCCAAATCAGGACTAAGTTTGGACTACAAGTTGACTCTCAGTCTAGCTCCTGTACTTCTTAAGCAGTGATTGCATATCAGACATAGTAAATCAGAGGACTTCTAGAAGAAAGGCATCACATATGCATCTGTTTCAGTCCACTATTCGGCAGTGTCTATTGCTGAAGGAATGAAAGGATCCTCTTAAGTCTCATTGGAAAATGAGAATAAGGCTACTTGGTAATGTTTTGACTAGCAATCGCTCCCAAAGGTCTTTAAGAATTAAGAAAGTGTTATGTGATTCCTTCATGAATCAGGCTCTAGAGCTTTAAGCTAACTGCAGTTTTGAAAGCTGTCGAAAAGGGTTGTCAAATGTATGGCTGTGAAAAAGGCCTTTAATTTACAAAAGGAATTAGATCATGAAAAAGGCCATAGAATGCTGCTAATTCCGCCAAGGCAGGTAGGTGAAGTCCTAGAGACTTTATGGGCATGTGAACTGTTTTCTCTGGGGTGCATATATATATATACATATATCTGATGCAACACAGAAAAATGCTTTCTTGAAGAAAGGGTAAAAATCTGCTGATAATATTACTGTTTTTCTGGAATTCTTAGAGTAAATGCATCCAAGTAAATAATGAGAACATTGCTAAAGCTCTTTCTAATCACAGAAGATTTCTTACACCCACTGAGGAAATTGGTTTCTGTGTTTTTCCTTAAAGTTATGCTTCTTGTACAGTTGCTTCTTTCTTGTAAAGGCAGAAGTGAAGTCTTCTTCTTGTACTTTTTCAAGAACGTTTTGTGGTGCGGTCCACTCCATGTGGACCTTCTTTGGAGAGGAGCTGGCTCTGCTGGTTGTGCCAGAAGTTGTGCTTAGTCAAACAGTGGTGCATTGCCCAACTATAGATAAAAGGTCCTTGCTCTTTAGAGAGACATGAGTAAGTGACACCTGAACTGAACGTGGTTCCTTACATGTGAGACTAACTTGGCTGTGCATCTTGCAGTGTGCACATCAATTCCATCTGTGAAGCAAGGAGATGGTTTCATTTGGAGGAGTTTGCTGAGAAGAAACAGCAAAAATGTCAGAAGTTGCCACTTAAAGTACTTTTAAAATAACTGGAAACAGAGTGGAACTGCCATAAACTTTACAGAGGAAACAGAATATTATGGGCAGCTTGATCTGAGTCTTGTTTCTTTCCACATAAAGTAGGATTCATGTCTGCTAGAGCTGTCTTAGTCTGAGGGATCAGTATCCAACCCTTGGGTGCTCAGTTCTTAGGCAGAGTCCTTTGGATGAGATTCTGTAAGGTGAAGTCCGGAATAGCTCCCTCTCTGATCTCCATTATGTGAGTACTCATGGCTCAGTTCGTCATCCCTGTGACAGAATTGCTACTGGTGTGAAGAAAAGTGGACCCTTTCTTCCTGCAGCTTAACATTCAGGTATCTGACTTGTACAATTCTCCTCCTTACCCCCTGAAACAATGGTGGCTTACTATTTTAACAGCTATGCGATTTCTTTTCTTCACAGTGCACACCTCCTCTGAAAGTCAGAGATTTATTTATTGATATACAAGATGGCAAAATCTTGATGGCTTTGCTGGAAGTCCTGTCAGGACAAAAGCTGGTACGTATACAAGGGGAAACATGCCTCAGTATGGAGCTCTGTGGCTTACAAGTAACAACATCTGGGCATTCAAGGAATAAAGGAGAAATGGGTCCAGCATTTTGGGGATAATAAGAAACATTTCAGCAATTCCACTGTTATTTCCTTATGCTGTAGTTTCATGTCCTGAGCTGCAACTTAGATCTCCAAGGAAATACATAGCAAGGAGGTGAAAACAGTGTGTAATCTTTATAAATGTTTCTTCCCCTTCTATTTTTTTTTAAGCTTAGCTTGTTAGTGTTCATATACTTCACAGGCAGATCACGCAAGTCACTTAACCAAGGAAGAATAAATTTGCTGGGCTTAGTTGAATTATCTTTTCAATCCATAAATTGTATGTCTGGGATAATTACAACACGTAATAGATGCTTGGTGATTTCGTTTTGTGCAGTTGTTAGTTTAGTTCTGGTATATTGGCTCATATTTCTCTCATCTTACTGGCATGATCTAAATTCAAGAGCACAGTTGTACATATCAGAATCTTTTTCTCCGTCTTTCCCTTTTTAGAGGCCAGAAATTGAAACATTTGGTCCAAGTATAAGCAATCATTTACCGTTGACTTAAATGTTTTCTTTCTGCTTTATCTTTGTTGGCCAATACTCTCTTCTGTGTGGATATCACACTTCTTTTGGGGTAAGAGGAGAGACTTGCTCTGCAGTCCTCACCACTGCAGATACACTTGTAAATAACTGGTGATGCTCCACCCATGGGTATGCAGTACCCATCTGTGCACTGCAACTTGAATACCCACTGAATGTGCTCATGCATTCAGATCCACACTTTTCTTTGATATTAATGTAGTGTGAGGAAGCCGAGGCAGAAGCAATATCTCCATGTCCATTCACACAGACTGGCATTGGGAGCCAGGCTGGAGGGGAACTAGAAGGGGAGACATATCATGGAAACTCCACTTGGTGAACCGGACAGTCAAGGAGGGCAAGGAAGGAGGGAAGGTCAGCTGGCTAAACTTGTTTCTTCAGGTGTTTCTACACAGCTAGGAAAAAAACAGTGTGCCAAAGTGGAATCGCAGGGAGACAGGCATGCAACAATTCTGTCACCTCTACCAAAGCAAAATTTTCTGCCTCCCACTTTCCTGTATCTGCAAAACTGCTCGTGCTTCCTCATTAGGATCATTTCATTTAATTGAAGACAAAAAGAAATCTATTTTTATAAATTTTCCACTAATTCTGTGACTGAGCGTGGCTGGGGGGGTAATTACATGATTAATCAAGCTGGCAGATCCAAGAGAGTGATAGCATCTGGAGAGCAGGGAAACTGGTTGCTAACCCTGTTCTGCTGCAGCCAGGGCAGGTCATGTAGTTGTGCTTCTATATAGACAGATTTCCTCAGTTTTTCTTTTGGCTCTGTGTTTGTAGTTTTTTTAAGCTTTATATGATGTAGTGAATAATTCTATTGTTTTTAAAAATAGTATGTCTCTTATTTTTTATAGATGCATGAATACAAATCTTCAACCCATCGCATTTTTCGTTTAAACAATATAGCCAAAGCACTTAAGTTTTTGGAGGACAGTAACGTGAGTATTTCCAAAGCCTTGTCTTATTTTTTTCTCTCAATATATTCTGCAAATATGATTAACTAGCCTAATGCACAGCATGTTCATAAGAGTACACATACATAGTACGTACTGTCTGAAGAAGCTGTGACCTTAAGTTGTTGTCTGAACAGCAAGGCTGAAAAGCCACATAAAATGCACAAAGAGAATACCTACAGAGTAGGAAAACCAAGGATTTTATGTTCAGTTTATAATGCAAAAGTTCAATAGGTTTAAAGGATCAGGAACCCAATATTAAAAGAAAATAAAAGAAATGCAAGTAATCTTTATTGAATTGAATCTCAGTATCATGACTTCAGTTACTTCAAAGGTAGATGACTTTCCTTCCTTTCATTAGAGATATTTTCAGTATTACAGATCACGGGTATATCTGGCAAACTGCTGCAGCAGCTGAGCATGAGTCAAAGGCAAGAGAAAATTAAATCTCAGAAAATGACATAAATGCATAGTTTCTGGAATCAAAACCCTATAAGGATATAATTTTCCTGCTAGTCAGTACTGCAACATCACTGACTGAGGAACCCTTCCTAAAAAACTGACACAATTGTCAGTGACAAAGCAAGATCACAGCCCATAGCTTGAAATGATTCAATTCTTATTGATTTCTTCTGCTGGAGCTTCCTTCTGAAGCAGTAAGGATGTGTCCTGTGTCTTGAAGGGTCCCTGCTTTTAAAGAAAGATGAAAAGTAATGGTGTCAAGATAAATCCCAGCTATGTGACACAACTCCCTTACATGGTATACCCAGATCCTTCAGAATGAGAAAACTAATACTGGACTACACCTATGAAGGACTGCATATTCTTGCTATATACACTTAAACGTCTCTTTTTATCTAGAATCTGAAATACAGTCTTGCTTCTCCTCTTTTTTTTCACTGGGAAGTGACAGCATCTAATCATGGCTTTGCCAGCTGCTACTGAAATACACTCTTTAGTTCCCCTGGCTGGTTTCTCAGCCCTTTCCGTTACTGCTGATTTCTTGCTTGGGAATCCTCTCTTCAAGGTTGATTTCTGACTATTTATTCTGCTGCCATATGAATTTTAGAGAGTACCTTAAGTTATAAGAAGGAATATTCTTCTAAATATGGAGTGGTTGGACAGAGACTTGGCTAAAGCTCTGTAGATTTAAAAATAAATGCATGAGTTTCATGCATACTAAGTTTCAGCTCAGGAAATATGGACATCAGGAAATGTCTTGTCATTCAATCAACATTGCCGCCAATGTCTTCCAGGGACAGTACACCCAGAAGCCATAGGCCTGGGACAGACCAAATTAATATGAAGTTAGGACATTTCTTTTTAAATGATAGCACTCTGTTATGTTTACTTGTAAAAGAATCATCCCATGACCTCTGCTCTGTAGACAGGAGTAAATAATATCAGATAGATAACAAAAAACAGCAGAAACTTTTGTTAGGTATGTGTGTCATACATAAAAAGAAAATTACAGCTTTTAAAACAAATAGTGTTTTAAAGTTGCCTTTTGGAAAACCTACATGTAGGGACTGATCTGTCCGTGAAAGCATAGTTCTGCATATCCAGCTAGAGTTCTTGAGAAATGATTTATAAACTCTCAAATTTCTTAACAGCTTCCCAGTTGATGCTTCCCACCTAAATCCAATTAAGGCACATTGGCAAATGAGTTTTTATCCTCTCTGTTGATCAATACACACAGCGCGTTCTTGGGTGTTAGGAACCTGTGCAGTTGCCAGGACCTTGTCAGGTCACAATCTGGAACCTCTTCACACATGGGCCAGGCAAGAGGAGCTCTCCCTGGACCCAACAACTACTTTGTAATAAGTGTTTTGGTTTCTAAAGACTAAGCAGCCTGTGAGGTACTGGCTATCTCTACTGGGATGTACTGGCAAATTTAAGCAGCATTGAGAGAACAGAGTTGACACTGAGAACAACCTAATGTTAAATGTCATTTGCTCCCCACCTTAGACAAACTGCTATTAAAAAGCAGTCTGAAATAAAAGTTTCCTCTTTCAAATATTTTGGAACCTGGAAGAAATACAACAACTAGAGGTTTCTTCTTGATAAGATTGAATATTGTGCTGCAAACCATTACATATTGTTTTGCTCTTTTTTTACTTTTTTTTTTCCTCCTCCTTTTTTCTGTTGACCAACTGTTTGACCAAACCAGTGAGTGAAGGGTGGCAATGAAGTCAGTGAAGTGTTGGCAAAACGCCTCAGCTGCCAAGAGCTTCAGAGTTAGATATTAAACCACAGTGGGTGGAACCTGGCAATATGCACCTGTGTGGAATTGGGGCAGCAGGGCGAAGCCTGCCCCGGCTGCTAAGTGACTCATCATATACAGAATTTCTAAGTAATAGATAAGGGTTGTATACTAGGCTTTAACTCAAACCTGGTGTTATTTGTAGTATTGACAACTTCCTTACTTCCTCCACTGTGACCTTCACTAAAAACAAGTCTGTGTGTCTAAGTGAGTAACACTCTGGTGTGATCATGGGTAATGTGAGAAACTCTAGAAACTGCTTGGATTAGGCAAATCTATCCATTGCTAACTGATCTCCTGCGAGCTCGGTGACAAGCTCTGTAAAGTGAGATAAGCAAGGAGAAAGGAGATGCGTAACAGAACAGACCCAGGCAGATCTTATTAGGATTTAAATTTTTTTAAGAAGTGACTTGAAGTCTTGTCCTCTTCCTCCGAGTTTATCTGTATTCTGTCCAACCAGGCCAAATTTTGAAGTCTTCCTATACCTTAGGCTAAATGTAAACAGGAGGCATATCTCTGCCCTCTGTATTTTAAGAGTTTTAAGAACAGGATCCACTAGAGGAGAAGCCATCTCCATGTTTGGAGAAAATGCATTTCTGCTCTAGAGGATGCAGAACATGGGTCACTCCTGTTCCTCAGGTCATGTTAGAGACTTAAGATTAGGGTGATCAGTGAGCAGAGTGGGCTGTGACCAGGCAAATTACCATTACCACGAGCTTTTAGACTGACTGGTCTATGGCAGAGGTATTCTGGAAGCATCCTGTAATCTCAGTACAGGCCAGTATTTTTTTTGTGTTTCTGCTGTTTCTTTGAACTATCTATGATCTCTTCTACAGGTAAAACTTGTTAGCATCGATGCAGCAGAAATAGCAGATGGAAATTCCTCTCTGGTACTTGGACTAATATGGAATATAATCTTGTTTTTTCAGGTAATTAAACTTGAATAATCTTAAGTGATCTATCTTCATAGATATCTATCTTCACAGATCTAGTTAAATACTTTTAAAAGTTGTTTAAAGTTCATTTTGCATCCTAAAGAACACCTTTAAGCTTGCTAAACCTGAGTATTTCCTCCTAATTTACACTACTTTTATACCTGTGGCTATTTTCATTTTACTTCATTGGAATTATTTTGATGTAAATTGGAGGCAACTTAGGCCCTAGTTGTTTGACTAGAATTAGAGATTCAAACTCCTCGTTTTCCCTTTTTCCTGTGACTTCTCTGCATTCCACCTGAGATTCCCTGGATCAGAGAATCAAATTCTTGCATTTGGTTCCAGGTCACAGTTTGTTTTCAATAACCTTTCCTGTATTTGGTCCGATATAGTGGACAATTTCATTGAGCATCACTGATCTCTTGAGACTTACCCAATGTGTCAGAAATTCACCACTAATGTAGAGGGACAAATAAAAGATCTTAAAGGGCCTGAAGCTTGGGGACTGATAAAACAGAGTTAAATATGAAATCTTATTTAGCCCCAGGCTTAGACTAAAACTGCTCCCAAATTTACCTGTATTCAGCAAAGACTCAAATTCCTATCAGCTGGGAGAGATAAAGGAAGGCGTTCAGCAGCTCTTACAAAAGAGCGTGAGGTTCTCATGCTCTTTTGTTCTCTTGGACTTATTTTGCCAGTTTAGACTGGCATTAGGCTTAAAAACCAATCTCTGTCTGCAGGCTGAGCATTGCAAATCACACAGTGCTGCACAGCACCCATTTGTCCAGGACTCACCAGGAGAGATGGTCGAACTAAAATCGATCCTCTGGCAGTAAGGGACACGGAGGACCTAAAAGCAGCATAGTCAGTAAGTTAGATCAAATCTCAGTGCTGACCAAGGATAGGAGTGCTGTTGCAGGTCGTGGTTTCTTGACTAAAAATGTTTTGCTCAATGAGTTTTTTGAAGAGAAGGAGTGATTTCAGTTAAATTCACTTTCAGGAATGTGATTGTTTGTTTGTTTGTTTGATATGAATTTGTTCATTTCAGTCTTATCTTATAATTTTGCCCATTTATGGCTCCTGGAGCTACCAGCTGGGCTGCAGCTGCTCCTGGCTCTTAGGTCTGTGCAGTATAAGTTGAAAGTTAGAGTGGACAGACCTGTAATTACCTCTTAAAATTCATTTATGGCCCTGTTATCTTAAAAGGATGCAAAGTTGCCTGAGCAAACATTCAGTTCTCCATTCGCCCTGAGTTTGATTGGCGTGCTGCATGTTTCATCTTTTATTGCAGATTAAAGAACTCACGGGCAACCTCAACAGGAACTCGTCCTCTTCCAGCCTGTCGTCTGGGCCCAGTGGGCCAGAGTCAGACACGTCTCAGACAAGCACTCCAAATGTAGAGAGAAGCATGTCTGTTACTGTGAAAGACCAGCGGAAAGCCATCAGAGCCCTTCTAACCTGGGTTCAGAGGAAAACCAGAAAGTAAGCTAGTGAATTGGCATAGAAAGTGGTATTTTACTAGCAGACCGTTAAAGCTGAAAGACCTTTCTTTGTCCTGGATAATGTATATTTTGCCATGAACTGTTTTTTTTTTTATTTTGTTTTTAATCATTTGAAGTTTGCAGGCACAAGGTATTGCACATTGACTATGCACGTGCATCTAAAGAGACTGTCTGATGTTCAAGCTGTGTATGTTGCTGGCTTCATGATTTGAGTGTTAAGTGTTAAATTGAACTAATCTGCTTGGCACTCCCTAAAACAAGATCGCTCTTACCTCTACCGATGACTTTTCTGCAATCTATTAGGTATTCTGTGTTAGTAAGAGGGTAGGTGTAGGTGAAGCTTGAACTGAAAACAAACAAAAATGGAAGACTTTAAAAACTACCTTCTACTTTCAGCAGCCGAGCTAAGAGAGCTGCTCCGTCTGCTCTAAAGTGCTTTGAAGAGCAAGGTTCGTGTTTCAATCCCTGATTCTTCAAAATTTAAGAAGGGAAGGGATTGAATCTTTGCTCCTATTCTGAGAGCAAAGTATTTCATTCAGGGAACATTTCTTTGCTGAACTCATCCATCTCTTCTCTAATAAGGAACACAGTCCTTCAGCCAAAGCATTTTGTGTCAGAGTGAAATGCACAGTTATTTTCAGGTTCAAAAACTTCAGCATAAGATGTCCTTTAGTGGAAGAAGGGCATGAGTAAATACTCTGCATGTATGTTACCTCTTACATGAAAGAACATTTTTACCTGTTAAGCTAGAGGTTTTTAAAGACCGTGGGCCAAATTTACACAAGTGGGTTATCTAGATATGTGGTGTTTTGTCTCTTGATACATGTTCAAATTTGCTTACAAACACAAATGCTCTGTGTATAGCGTCAAGGATGCAAAGTTACATCTCAAATATTAGTCCTGTGGGCACATCATTCTTGAGTTACCTCTGGTGAAGCTGTGGAGCTCATTATGCAGTAAATTTGTCCCACTGAGATCTACAGTTAATTGCTGCCAACGCAGACTGTAGAAGAACCACAATCTCATTCCCAAAATAAAGCTGATGATATCATTAATGGGGAGGTGGCACGAGGAAAGTGCCAGAGAAGCAAAGGCCATAGACTTTTTTTCAATCTAGTCTAATGGTACAAATGGAAAATAAGTAATAGGAGAAACATTGATTTTGCAGCAGATGTACTGTAAACATAGTAACTTGATCATAATCCTTTTTATCCATGACCTATATGGAATTTTCTCTTCTGGGGCTATTCTGAGGCCGTATTTCATTGCAAGTGTGGTAGTCTTTTTTTCTTCCAAAACTCTGGGCACTTAACACATTTGTGGTTTATACATATACTGGCGCCATTTGCATTTACATTTGCATAGCACCTTTTCCACTGTAGAAGGCCAAGTGCTCAAAAATGTGAATCATTTATGCTAATGTTTTTAAATACTTAAGCGTTGGCAGTTTTCCCTTGAAAATGCTCCCCCAGAATCAGGAATCATACCAACATTTGGTTAAAGGTGGTTGCTGAGTACTGGAGGGCTTTGTTTTTACTGACCATTTCCTACAAGAAGCTTCATGTCAAGTTGTGAATCCTTATGTTTTATGAAAGTGATTTTTGCTTTTCAAATGGAACGTGAACTGGTGCAACCCAGCAACATTACCTGTAACTTTCAGGAGTCATTGAAGATGATGAGTGCTTATACTTTGCATTTTATAACAAAACGCTCATGTAAACCATATGTACTTGCATTTAGATACGGTGTTGCAGTTCAGGACTTTGCCAGCAGCTGGAGGAGCGGCCTCGCTTTCTTAGCTGTCATAAAAGCCATAGACTCTACTTTGGTAGACATGAAGCAAGCCCTGGAGAAGACCGCTCGGGAAAACCTGGAGGATGCTTTCAGCATAGCGCAAAATAAGCTCGGTGTCCCTAGGCTACTGGAGCCAGAAGGTAAAGGGCTTCATCAGCTGTGTTGGGTAGCGTTCAGATTATAATCAACCCAAGAGCACTGCGTTGTCATAACTATCAAAAACCTTCCAATGATTAGGTTGCTGATGTGGGAAGGAAAGTAATGTGAGATGGGGAGGACTCTTCAGAGTGCCATCAGTGGTGAAAAGGATTCCATCTTTCTGGCCCTGTCAGAGAAAGATGTGTGTCCATAGCTGTTAATTCTCTAATCGTGAAGGCAGGATAAATGTCTGAAGGTCTGTCCCTCTGGAAGCCTGTTGTAGAGCACTGCGGACTAAGGACCTCTTGTCTGTTTCCATAGATATAATGGTGGAATCACCCGATGAACAATCGATTGTGACGTACGTGGCGCAATTTCTGGAACACTTCCCCGAGCTGGAAGGGGTACGTGCTTACTCTGAGCTCATGTCATGGTTTTTCATTGGCTTGGATGTACTTAGGAAAGTTAGATATTGTTGTATTCATCTTCTAGGTTTTCTTTCTAAGCCGTTTAAAATAAACTACCTATTCTGCTTTAATTTTTCAGATTTTTGTCAGATCAAGTCAAACAGGCGTTTACTGGGGATTTCTAAACTGCTTTAGGGAGCGCTATGCATTTAAAGATTTATATGCAGTCGTAACTTTAAGGGGTTAAGACTCTACTACTTTTCAGAGGTTAAGAAAGACATTATTACTTTGGCATATTAGCTTCAGACTGAAGTTTATCCCTTCATCTTCATTTCTTATCCCTTCATCACCCTTCATGGTGATTTGTTGGGCTATCTTCCCAAGTTTGAGGGCCAAAATAAATCCGAATTTAGTCAGGCACAACATATCAGAGGTTGAATTTTGTCTGTACAGCAATCAAATATACTCATTGTAAGAAGTAAATTGCATCTTAAAAGGTGAGAACTTGAATGCAGACTTTATCTGCATTAAGGAGTCCTTTTTGGGGAGTAGGCCACAACAGGGACTGGTAAAAGCCCTCTGGAGAAGATACACTTACTGAGGAATTAAAGGATAGGAGATAGAAAACTGGAGGAAAAATGTAAAGTGTGTAAAGTATAAGGATTGGGGAAGAGATCTATGTAAAGAGATCCATGAAAAAAATAGCTGCTGATTATATCTATAAACTTAGTTCAAAACAATATCTTTTGGTTTCGATGGGTTATCCATTCAGTAGCTGGGTAATCCTTTGTGCTTGAATACATGCGTATACCTTATGGTTTATACATTAAAATTATGTCATCTCATTTGTTGACTGAAGGTTCCAGTTGGTGTAAGCTTTCTAGCAGATAGAATTGGTGGTTGTTGTTAGAGTCATGGGATTTAAAATTGTTCTAATAATTATTTAAGATTATTTTTGGAGAGCATTAAGATTTGTTTGTCTTAAGACTTCTGGGCATTTTGCTGGACGAAGAAAAAGCCTAACTCTCTCTCTCTATGTGTGTGTGTGTGTGTGTGTATAATCATTTGAACTGAATAAGCAAACTAGTACATTAGTATGTTTCATATGTTTCATATATGTTGGGCTTGTTAGATTTATCTTACTCCCAGGGGTTGTGTCAAAAAACCAAGTCAGTTGTGAAGCATTCACAGGTGAAGCAGGGAGAGATGAATATATCACCTGCTGAAGAGTAGGCTTGTCTGCATTCTAATCAAGTTGCCCAAGTGTCTTCCTGATGTTGAGCTTTGTTCAACTCACTTGACTTGCCAAATTGTTTTCCCTACTTTCAAAATAAGTGAGTCATTAATTGGTTATTCTCAAGGTAATGGCATGATGGGCCAGTTTTATGCTTTCTGTAACATTTAAGAAGCATAAAATGTATGCAAAAGGTAATAAGTATGATATGTCTTTTAATGATGTATCATTGCTTGTAGGAAGACTTTACAGATCCTGACAAGGAGTTTCCAATTGAGTCTACCTATGTCCACATTAAAGATACACCTTCAGAACAAGAAGGCAAAATCTTGATTTTAAGTGAAAGAGAAGACAGTATGTTTACTGTTAACCATGAAAGGAGTCATCCTGCTCCTCCAAAGGTTCATATTCATGACACCTCAGAGAGAATCCAGTCAGAAACTGTTCCTGAGAAATGTAATGGAAAAGCATTAGGTGATTCACCGGAAGCCTTTGAAGAGGAGCCTAAGAGGCCTACCTCGCTGAAAATTACAGGATCTGTCAGTTTTGAATCCAACTCCTCCTGGGAAGTTCTTAGTGATAAATTGATCCCAGGTGAAGGAGGCATGTATGATAATCCACTGAAACAGAATAATGACCTTTCTCCAGCTGCTCTGACAGATCAGAAAAATTCTGTAGACTCTTTTGAAGACTACTCTGAAGAACTAACTAGAGAGACCTCTACTGAATATGATAATGAAACTAAAAGCCTATCAGCCAATACTTCTTCTTTGAGTCCATCGTCTTGGACTTCAGGTATACTTACAGATGAATCCATAAATAAAGTAGAAGAGAACAAACCCCAAACTTCAGATCTTTTACCAGAAGATACCTCAGAACAAGAAGACACACATACATATGTTCTTCATCTTCTAAATCAGGAAAATTTGAAACCTCAAGAAAATGAGTGTACAAATCAATCACCTGTATTTGAGACAACAGAAACTAACCATTGTTTGTTGAATAACTCTAATCTCGAAAGCCAAGATCTATCTACACAGCATGAAACAGCTGATGACTCTCCCTCAGATGTACCTGAAAGTCCAGAAGACCTGGATAGCTGTGATGAAGCTGAGTCTTCAGCTGAAGTGTTGCCCAGTTCTTCAAAAGTATCTGTAATACCCCATGATCTCTTTTACTATCCGCATTATAATGTTCCCATATCAGCAGTTTTGGATGCTTACGTTGAGCCTCGTCTTGGAGATTACGATATTGGAAATGACAAATCTTATTCTGACTCAATAACAGATATTTTACATGAGAAGGGGATCCCAGCACAGAACTACAAGGAAGATGCTCCAGAGGAAGGATTAGGGAATAAGCTAGGTGACTCTGCATCAGAAATGAGTACTGAGAATGCAGAGGAGGCAAAAATGGATGCTAACAGTGACATGAATTATTCCTGTGAAAAAGAAGAGGCTTTACTAACAGGAAAAGAGAAAGAAATTGAAAAAGATGGCCAAAACGCCACCACCCCTCAAGATTCTACTATTTCCCAACGTCCTGAGGTACTGTGTTTTCTTGATGGTAACATTTCTTCCATATATTTGGGCAATTAGCACCTGAACTCTTTGCTTTTCCTTTGCTATATAGGCTCATTAGAGAAATTACATAAAATACATTTGGTTTCTTGTTCCACAACACTTGTTTGCCACAGCCCTCTACTGGAAGGAATGGGATTGCAGATACCTGATGAGACATTATTCAAAGATTCAATTTACAGAGAATAAGCCCGAATAATACTGCAGAAATGTGATTTTTTTCTGACGCTTTAAAAACAGTTTGAAGCTTCTGCATAATCCATAAGTCTAAAAGATTATTACAGGGGGCTGTTTTTAATAATGCTCTGTAATGAGATGAACAGCAAGTAATACTGTTGATATAGAAAGGATATAGATACAGATGCAGATAAAGACAATGAATCTGAATCAGTAAATTTGCCTACAGAAATTTTAAACCAATCTGAGCAGGAAAGTTAGGGGGGTAAAGCTAAGGTTTGTCTAAGCTGAGGAGGAGGAGGAGAAAGGGAGAATTTTGATAACTTTTCTGTGTATTGGATTTAGGCAGTGTGCTATTGCAGCTCTTCCTGCAGATACATCATTTTGCATTTTGTCTTAGATGCCTTGCAGCTTAATAACTTTAGATAGAATTTTTCAGGAACAAGTACCCCTGTGAGAATTTGGATGTTACTCCACATGCTGTTTGGACATTTGGTCTTAATGCTTGCTGAAATAACCAAGTCAAATTCCAAGAAACACATCGTTCACAACTTCTTATTTAAAAAGAATTGATGGTACATTATAGCTCAGTGTTATCCAAAATAATTTTCAAAAAATGATTTTTTTTTTGAAAGCATTGTTTGTCTTTTCATTTGCTTTCTTATCCTGCTTAATGAGGCCTTCAGTCTTATACTCTATGCATTTTACCAGCTGAATAGACAACACCTCTAAGTTACCAGGAGTGCTGGGGAATAAGTTTTGTTGTTGTCTAATGAAAAATGTTTCTTAACTTAAACCGAAGGCTGAAGAAGATCATCAAGATGATTTGTCAGAAGCTGTGAAGACACCAGAAAAAAGTAGTAAAAGGAAGGAAAAAAGAAAAAATGTGATCAAAGACACACAGATTTCAAAAGTTGGAACTACTACTCTATCACTAGATAAACTGGAAGAAATTGCTGATTGTCAGGAATTTACCAGGTATGACACATGAGCATACTCTTAAATACACCTAACTTTGAAGGAGAGTCTAGTCTTAAAAAGTGTGCCCTAACCTTTGGATGTTTTTGTTGCTTTCTTTTGGGAGCAGTCTGCTTGAACTCATGGCTTCTACCTATGCTGCTCTCAAGCATGTCGAGCAGTTCAGTGCCAGTGGACTTGATATGACCTCAGTTTTTTGGTTTGTCAAAGCACCCAAAATCAACTGGAATCCCAGAGCATTTAGAACACAGCTGTATGCTAACTGTTTTTCCAAGAAACAGTGTTTTTATGATGTAGATGAAATAATTAGCTAAGAAATCCATGGATTATGAGTCCAATGAGCTAGTTTGTTTAATGATATTTCTTGGCCTTTTTTCTGTCTGTGAAAAAGTAAATGAAACACTCAGCTCATTCGACTCTATTCCTTGTTATCTTTTAATTTGATCTTTAGGCAGTGTGTTTGAGTGGACATGAACTATAATCTGTCAGTGCTTATTTATGAACCACTCTAATGGATTTGAAAGAATCTGCTTACAAAAACTTGCAATCTCCTTCCTCAAACTTTCTTTGCCCTGGAATGCCTTTCAATATTTTTTAATTGGTAAGTTGGGATATAGTCTTAGTTAAGTGAGTGAGAAGTAAATGATACAACAGCTGCAAAAACCCTATTGAATACTGCTTTTCAGAAAAGATTCAAATTTGGGTGCTTGGATTTTTATGTTATGGGTGAGATATTTTGAACTACTGTTCATAGTGTTGATTAGTTCAAATCCATATTCAAATGCATGCAAGAATGCATATTTGTGGTTTTTCATAACCTAAAAGTAAAATATACGATTGCAGTGGCTCCTTTTGAAGTTAAAGCAAAACTTGGATTTACTAAGTTACAAACTTTGCTTTTACATGCATTTCAGAACTAGTTACAGTGATTCCAACATTTATCTCCGAAAAAGGTTTTCTAACACTTCTGAGAAGGTAAGAATATGGAAATTTATCTTATTCTTAGTATTTCATCACCCTTCTTTAACTCCAAGAACTCAGATACTGTGTATATATATAAGCTCTCTATATAGTCTTTATAAGCTTTGTCATAATCCAGTAGTTCTACAATATTGAATAATTTTAGTGCCAAAACCAGGATTAGTTTAAAAGTTGTATTGAATTACCTCAAATATACGTAACCATCCCAAATATACAGTATAATTAAATATATTTATGTAAGAACTTTATTGAACCTTGAACAAAGCTACAGAGGAGTAACTAATGTTACGATTCAATCTACTCTGCAAGAACAGCTAAACACTAAAGTAGTTGGGTTGTAAAGTGAAACCTCATGCTTAATAGCAGATGTATTTATTTCATACTGGTTTCTTGAGCATGTGCTATACAACTGACGTTTGGCTGCATTTTTTTTTTTTAATTTGAGGGAAGAGACAGCACCAACAGTCAGGTCACACTGAACAAGGATAAGAGTATGTCTTTTACCTGGACAAAACAAAATCTAAATCTTAGAGCTTTAGGAAATATTGCCACTGACGTTTAATGAAATTCAGATTTCACACAGGTGCTTTAGTCCTGCAATGCTTTCAGTGCTACTAGAAATATATATGAACAAAGTAAATAAATAAAATAAATAAAAGTAAATAAAAGCAGTTAAAAGCAACAAGTTCCTGATTTTTTTTTACAACACTTTTTTTTTGTGTGTGTATATCAGACAGACATGGTAAATGTGAGGGTGGAAAATAGAAACACTGTTTTCATTTCGTTTGAGCAGACTTTAAACATACACTGCATAGAATGCATGCACATCATGTCTTTGAAAGACACTGAATTTTATCTTTTTCTAAAATACATTCCAGTGTGTTCTCATGTATTTGCATGTTTGTTTGTTTAAGGAAACCTCTGGTGAAAGTGAGCAGGAGATGACAGATGTGGATGAAAAGCTCACAATCATCAGGTGAGCCATTTTTATGCAAACAATTGCATAGAATTGTAGAGAAATCTGTAACTTTTAGGTATTTCTAACAGTGCTACAAAGGGAAGTGAAAATTAAGTATAATGGTGGAGACTGGAATGGAAATCTTGTGTACTAGCATGAGGTCTTTATTTCTTATAGGCATGAGATGTGAAACTTGTTTTTGATAGATCTCCCCTTGACTAAACAGACATTGTTTTTAGGCTTGGGCTGCCTAAGATTTTGGGAAATGTGGTGAACATTTCAGACCAAGAAAGGAGTAGGATGAGTTGAAATACGAGGCCCTTTGCCAGAGCTGGCCAAGACTGTTTCCAGGTTTGCAATACTGTTGAGATGATGTGTGGCATGGTCAGTGCTAGGAGTAGATGATACGTCAGCATAGTTATGTTAGAGCACCCATGATTTTCTGTATTTTCTATATGTGATCAACTTGGACTTAGGGTACCTCCAGCTCAGATAAAGCACATTTGCATTTTACTAAACCTTGTGCTGTGATGGTGCTGAACCCAAAGCGTGTATCCCTTCTGAAGCAAGTCTAATATTTATATGTAAAGAAATGGCATAACTTTACTTTTTTGCTCTCAGTTGATGCCAAGTAGCTTCCTAGAACTTTTTATTGAAATAGTGGTTGCAGCTAGTTGCAGAAAACGCACAAAATATTTTCAGGGCTGAGTGTCCTAGTCTCAACTAGTCCTAGTTTAAAAAATATATATGAATATCTGTCATAGTTAGGTCTGTTTGCAGACTGCTGATATTGAACAAGTTTTTTCTAATGCTCAGTAATTTAATCAGTATAAGATTTGAGTGAGCAGGATGTCCTAAGACAGAAAAAGAACTAGCTAAAACATGACAATTTTCTCCAAAGGTAAATAAATAAATAAATAGAGTAAAATCCCAGAAGATGGTGCATATGGCATTGTAAAATGAGTGAAATGAGTGTACCATCTTGCACCATTTAAAGTAAGACCTCTCCTTAACTTTGTGAGTGCTCGGTAGGTAGAATCTAGACAGTAGATAGAGTCTAGCCTGATAGAGACTGGGAAGAGTGTACAGGCCTTTGCCTTTATGGACTTCAGTTGGAATTTTGGCCCTGTCCTCCAAACCCAACTGCTAGCTTGTTTCTGGAAGCCTGGGGCTTTTTCTGTTTAACATTTTAGGTGTCTGACATGAGAAGCTATAAAAGTAGCTGATTTGGGGAAAGTAAGAGAATGTCTTCCCTCTGCAAGTCTAATCTCTCTCTACTGTCAAGTCAAATACTCAGGGTAGAAGAAAAATTGTGAAAGTGTAATGTAAGTGTTGCCTGAAGCTATGTTTATAGTTCTGAAAATAAAATGGTATCTTCCTGATTGATGGGAATTGGCTTATATCAAAAGAATTTACTATAATGTCGTATAATTAAATACCTGAGTATTTGTCCAGCATTTCCAAGAGGAGTAACAGCTGTGTCTGCTGGCTCATGAAGAGACACACTGCAAAAGCCGGTGTGCACTTCATCGTCTTGCTTGGCGTCCAACTGACTGGGTTGAAACAGTTCATTAACTTGTTGTCTTTTAGTTGGCCTTCTGCTCTTTACAGCGCAGGTTGACAGTGGTTCTCTCCTGTCTTGTTTTCAGGAAGAAAAAGGATTTGGAAGCAAGTGACACTCCAGCAGTGGCTGCGCAGACCCTGAGTGCTGAACAACGAGAGCTCTTCTACTTCATTGTTTTCCTCTGGGCGCTGGTCTACTGCCTTTTACTTTTCCCACAGCTTGTTGGCAACAAACCTTGATCTCTGTGAGGTGTGTGGAAAATAAAAGACGGTGGTCTGATTGTTTTGTGTATCTGCATATGAATATGTTCCTTCAGGTGAAGCACAGCTATAAATGTAGGACCTGGTATTTGTGGTTATTATCAGGCTCTCCTCCTTTCCTCTACTGCTGTGCTATGACTGTGTCTAAGCACATTTTATATAATGACAACTTTGTAAATATATATAAAGAAAACTGATTTCGTAGATGCGATTTTGTACATTTGTGCCTTGCTTTATAATATGTTAAATAAAAATGGATAATTATCAGTAGAAATATGAACAGTTCAGAGCTCCAGTCTTCAAAAATGATTCTTTTGGCTTCATTTACTGATGCAGAGCCCTGCAGCTGTGGAGATGGCTGCTTTATTTGACTTGCCTATGAATTTGGCCCACCAGAAAGGGCAGGTCTTGAAATGCTCTTTCACCATTTTCATAGATATTTTTAATAGAGATGGAGTTACAGAATTAACTTAACCAAAAGTACTGAATATATTTCAATCCAGTGGAGTAACAAAATCAGGTGGGTTTTATTTAGGGAGAAGAGTCTGTCTTTTAAGGACTCAAATTCATTGTTGTCATGCAGTAACAAATTGGTGTAGAAAAGTGTGAAAAACTGACATTCTGTCTGTTGCTTAGAAGATCACAAGGGAATTCTTAACCCAGACTCTTCTGTAGAAAATACCCAAACAAATACCTTTTGTGTATGTCCTGAGGGTGGCCATCTTTGAAAAGGTACAAAAAGCTTAATAATTTTACCAGGAACAGATTTTTTTTTATTATTATTTTTTACAAAGGTACCTTCCCACTTCTGAGGCTGCATCTGCTTCCTTTTCCTTTTGTGTTTTTCCCATATCAGATCATATGAAGATTTCTGTCTTTTGAAGATATGAAAAGTAACAGACAACCTAATTTACTGAGGCAATGCTGAAGCACAAGTCCATGGACAGATGTAAAACTCAATACAGAGATATGCTGACAGTCTGTATTTGCTCTGATACAACTGAAGAGACTTCTGTGACTTTTCTATAGACTCAGTTGTGTCACTTAGGCATCTTTTAATTTTTATTTAGCTCAATGACCATTTAAGGATATTATATTTGGAGTTTGGGGCAGAGTAGGAGGGGATATCTTCAATTTCAATTTGATAGCAATAACTTTTGCCCCTGCAACTTTTAGTGAAGTCACTATTGTCATCAGCACATTTTTAGGTTCATAGTATGCTTTATGAAACTATGTCAGGTTGCTGGTTCCACTTGAAAGTTTAGAAGTTTAAAATCAATTCCTTTGTAAAAGAAATGCTTTGACTAAAATATATCAGGGAAGCATTAAGGCCGGAGCCTTTTCTCACAGTGAATAGATCTTAATAGAGAATGCTTAGAGCTTCCTCCTGAAATCCAGTGACTACTATGCTGAAGCATGGCAGCTCTTTAGTGGCAGCAAGTAGTTTGAGGCAGAGTTCATTCCATTTTTCATAGGCTCCCTTGGTCATGACAACTTCTTTTCTGAGTCTTTGAGTTCTTGCAAGTCTCTCAGGCTTTAAGAGAAATTATCTGGAGCTACATTCAGTCTCTTCACAGAACATGAAAGTTATCAAAGTTAAATCCAGTAAAAGAATCTCTCTCCCGTTTTCTTTCCTTTCTCCTGAGAGTATTAATCGTAATGGTCTTTGGGTGTCTCATCTAAACGAACAACTAATGACCACATGGAGTAGAAAAGTGAGAGGAAATGATGGATGCTGGTATTTCATTACACAATATTTTCTTCCAGCAAAGAGGAAGCCCAGGCTTTTCTTTCTGCCTTCCCATTGATGAACAGTGACTGAAGCAGTGAAACGAGCAGTTTAAATGTCAAGCAGCCTGCAGCGATTGCCTTGATCAGCTCTCCCAATGTGTAAACTGAATTGTGCTTTCAGGTTTATCCCATGAAGAGATGGAGATTGTTTCCTCCGTGCAAAATAGATGAAAGTATTTCTCAATAAGGCCATTATACTTGCGTTTGGCTGCTTTTTTTTTTCTTTTTTTTGGCTATAATCGGTGTACCTTGCTCAGCTATGCCATAGGTAAGAGTGTCTGGAGTAAAGCAGTAAGAGTCTTTATCCCCGTATAGTCAGCTGTGGATGAAAAGATACTGTGCTCCTTAGGAGTTAGGGCATTACGTGGAACTGCACACATGACACATGCATAAGTGTCAGCTGCCCCTTTTGACAATATGTGCACTTTGAGTTGTAAGGCTGCATCTATTCAAATGAGTCCTTCTTCCACAGTGCCAAGTCCCGGCCCCTCATTCTAAGTGCCCAATTCTGAGAGCATTGCTTGTTACTGGAATTTGGTGTGCTTGGGATTTAAAACACAGATTGTGAAATGTTCACTCTGGCAAAACCTCCAGATTTTAACTTGCTTGATAAAAGGACTGTCTTCAAGTATCTGAGTTTTTAAAGGCTGGTGGGCAGTTTGATTCATGTCTCCATCTTCCAGAAGGTCTATGTCTTCTCTGAATAAGACAGGTTTTTCTGAATAAATACGTGTTTTCTGAAAAGTGCTAAGCTGGAATGCACCTCATTTGATATTCTGAGTTAGAAGTAGAATTCACATATGTGAGGGTACTCATCTGTAAGGTCCTTTTCCAAAACCAGTTCTTCTTAAGCAAACTTAAGGGTAGAAGTGCACTGTGAAGTGCAAGTGTTGGGAAGTGCTTGAGGATCACAAGATAGAAGGTGTTGTATTCACAGAAGCACTATTAAAGACTCTGAGACAACCACAACACTATGATTCAATGTTATTCTAGTACTGTAACTTAACTGCGAAGTATTTTGTTGTGATTTTATAGAAAGTATAAGAAAAGTACTATTAAAGACAGAAAACTGCTCAAGATTTATGGGGCAGATGCTGGAGAGTTAAAGAACTGAGTTAAACTGTCACATAAAGTACAAAGTGAAATGAATGTAGCCTTTGCCAAATTGAAGGAAATGATCAATATGAGGACATGGCAAGTACAAATTACAGTAAAAAATGACAATCAATTTTCAATGCCGTGAATATTTTTGACGAATTGAGCTCTAAAATGTATTTTTATTGAGTTTATAGATTGTAATGAATGTGTCTAAGGAATTTTATGCAAAGCTTCAGAGTTCAGCTGTTTTAAAGAGATTTTTTTATATAGCAGTGATTATTTTATCTATATATTTAACAGAACTGTAAAACCACTTTAAAAGTACCTGTAAAATTCTATGTTTGTGATATGCTTATTTATTAATTATGAATAATGAGTATAAATATTAAGCTATGCATCAGTTGTATCATCCATTTGGAAACTGGACATAGGAGAAGATGTCTTCATGGACAGTAGAGTAGAAAAATACGTGAATGATCCAGTTAAGTTGTTTGATTCTTAATGCTGCATAGCAATTTATCATTTTGTGATGTTACCTTTCAGAAGTTGCAAAATATGCTGAGTGATTAGGCTACTTTTTTCCCCTTAAGTTCACTTTCACAGGCTGAAACTTCTACATGTATATTTTTGGTATCTAACACACTTAAATCTTCTATATCTTCTCATGATTCTCTATTTATTCTAGCTCAATGTGACTGTGACTTCTTTATCCAAGTAGTGTCCCATTCAGCCTACTGGGGTGCTGTGAAGATCTTAGCGTTTTCTGCACTGATCCCCACAGGATCAGAACTGTAGGATATGGACTGAACCAGTGTAGATGCTCTCATACTCAGCCATCTAGTGAGGTAAAAGTTATAACGATAATAGTGCATGATGATTTATGCTCAGTTAGGTACTTGGAGTGAGTCCCTTCTTGTAAGCTCAGACATGAATGTATCCAGTGATGTGTTCAGTTCCTTGACTTCTGTGGAAGTCAGTGCGACCCATCTGTGTGCTAAGCACGCACGGCAGGACCGGGCCCTGAAGTGATTTAAATCAGCTTTAAACAGCGCAGGCCAAGAAGTAGCTGAAGCCAACGTATTGCCATAGAGCTGGATTCCAGCAATTACAAACAGTGCCACTGACTTTAGTTAATCCATTTCCACGGGTAGGATTTGCTTACATAAATTCTGTAGGATCAATCCCTTGTTCTTTCTAGCAAGTTAATACATGCTTCCATTTTTTATAAAGAGAGCGACAGAGAGAGGAATGAATGCTTGGAGTCTAAGGGTAAGATTACTGGTTGGAGTATGACTGTGAAAGTTGCCAAATCTTTATAGTTGAAAGCTCCTACCCTCACAGCAAGTTGCCTGCTTTATTTTGACTAATGAGCAGTGAAGATGGATGGAGGACCCCCCTCCAAGTTTTTGTGTTCCATGTTGTGCAGTTATTGTGAAGTAAATAACATCAATTCTTCACCTCTGCTTACCACTCATAATGCCCATTTAAAGCTGCTCAGCTTATGCTTTTTCATGTTCTACTTTTGCATAGAAAAAGGAGTTGCACTAGGGCTTTCCTTTCCTTTTCTTTTTTTTTTTTTTCCAAAAACGCAAAATTGTTGAAACTATTTAGGCAATCAGATGGGATTTATATACACATTCAAACAATATGGCACAGACATATTCTGAAGAGGACAGCTTCCTTCCTCTGTCCATCTCTTGATAAACTCCTTTAATTGAAAGAGATAGAACTGTCATTTAACACTTATATTCTCAAGTGCCATGTCAGTTTGGGGATTATAACTGAAATTGTCAAACATCCAAGTATTTCCTTCTTCCTCTGAAACTTCCTTCCACCTCAGTGGCATTTTTGATGACTCCTTTCCAGGCAGCTGCTACTGCTAATAATGGAAAATGAGAACTGTGTCACTTTCTCACCAGGAGGGGACCGTGTAAGGTTGTGTGTCTGCAACAGAAAATTGGCCCCTGGGTGATTAATGTACTTCTTTCTTCATGATATGGCTAGAAGGGGCAATAAAAATAATTAGCCTTACCTCTAGGAGAAATACTAAAACAGAGCACTCCAGGAGAGATCCGGTTGTGGCCATCACTGGCCACTGGGCACGTTGAGGCCCCGCAGTACTTCACTCGCCGAGGAGCTGCGTTCCGTTCACGGGGCGCTCCTGAAAGCCCCTGCTTCATGGAATACGCTTGCTGTGTGCCCAAACCCTCGTTCTTACAGCAGGGTCCTGATCCGTGGCTATTGCTAGACTATAACAAATAATCACTAGTATTTCGTTAAAAATGACTTGATTGATCTTAGTAAAGTAGCTTTTAAATTATGTGCTGCTGATTTTTTGAGAAGAATAATGAAGTCCTTATTTTTTAATACTGAATAACTTATACAAGTTAAATAATTCTATATTTGCTGTAATCAGATAAATTCTACTACTGCTTTTTTCTTAACAAAGCTTATTTTAATTGCCAGAGCACTTCACGTATCGTATTTTTCTGTGTAAATGCCGAAGAAACTGTTTCATCCCTCTTGTTAATGTTCTCCAGTTGAAATTTAACTTTTAAAGTGCTTGTTTGCTAAAGAGTTAAAGAGGGACTGTTACAGTGAAGAAATCACTTGTAAGTAGGGAATGTACTATTTAAAATACATGCATCTCTTTGGCAAGTGGTCAGGAATGGTGGCTAGTGCTGGGAGGATTTGAGTGGTATCAGAAAACTGAATATTCAGAATACTGAAGAAGGCCTATTTTTGAGTATTTTCAAATATGTTTCTTCTGAATGCTCTCAATCAGTGGTATATACGGAATGTTTGCACTTGTTGCTCAGAGCTATTTTTTGTGAGAAAGAAATGTATACTTGTGTATAGTTACTATAATAGAAAAGAAATTGTTTTTAGAAATTGTTACTCTGTAATACAAATAGTATCTACTAGTGAATAGTTCCACTTTATTTTATAAAATCTCCAGTTTTGAAATAAATGGACAGGCTTCCTTTATATAATCTGTTATTTGTGGGTTTGTCCTTTTTCCCTCCCAAAAAATCTCCAAATATATGATTTCAGGGAAGATTACCATTTTGTTCTTATTATGCATTTTTATGTCCAGAAGATCTCAGCAAACAGAATTAATTAATAAAGATTTTTTTTTTTTTTTTTACACATTGATCCAAAAAGTTACTTGTAACGTTACAGGAAGAATCTAAACTTTTTTTTTCTAATCAAGAAACAGAATGAATTTCAATTGTTTTATGGAGGTAAAGATTTCTTGATTTACTAGTGCATAGAAATAGGCGAGCCATGGAAAGAATTAGAAAAAGAAAACAATTCTGTTAAATTATTTACTGTTCTCACATTCATTTTTTCTCACCTGTTTCTATGAAAGTGTCTAAAGGTACAGACTAGTAGTGAGTAATTTTTGAAAGCTGAAGCGGACTGTAATTAGGGGTTTGCAAGTGAGTTACAGAGGTTGAGGTTCAAATAGTCAAGGCAGATTACCTCAGCGTTTGGGAGCAGAATAAATCTTTGCAGGGGTATGGGGTCCCAACTTGAAATTGAATTCAAGCACAGAAGAGGAACTGTTGGAGTTAGTTAATTTTCTCTAATGAGGATAAGTCATCTGCTAGCCACTGCAAACAAAGCCTTTTCCTTGCTGTGTAAACACACTTTTTGAAACTGAAAGAAGATGCAAGTGCAACACAGACAATATACCCACATGGATATAAGGTAATAATCTTCTTGAATTGCTCAATTGTGTATTGATGTTCCCAAGATTATGTCCAGGAGAACTCACTGCAGTAGTTAATGAAATGCCTTGCAGTGCCTGATTTCACTCCTTGGTTAGATGGTACTACTGGCAGTTCTCTACCCCGGACAAATGTATACATTACCTTGGAATGTAATGTGACATATGATCAAAGCAAAATATATAGCTCCATCTGCTGTAAATACTTTGAAATGATTATTTTTGCATTATTTTTTGACTGATCTGTGCCCTGGAGAACTGATTTATCACTTTGCTAATACACGTTATCTGCTTGTTCGAAGGAATCAGCTTAAATGTAGCAGCTAAGTACATCTATAGTTTGCAAAATAGTATTTTTATTGATTCTTGGGAAGAAAAAAAGGGGGAGCACAAGCATTTCACAAGGGTATTAGGGACCTTTGTTAATTAGGGCATGGTAGATCTTTTGTTCTGTGCCAAACCGCCTCTTTTCTGCAGGAGGCGACACCATGAACTGCAGCCTGGCGAGGGGCTGGTTGAGAGGAAAGTCTTTGGCTACATTTTCTGAAGCCGGGTGCAGGAAAGTTGCCTTACCAGAAACTTGCTTAAGACACCCCGGCCTGCAGTAGCTTGTGGATAACCCTCAGTTTGTCATTGAAGTGGTGTGGGATGCAGTGACAACACAGGGGCACGCAGGCAGCAGCAGAGGACAACAGAGGTCACCATTGACTTGCAGGAGGGAGGATCTTCACGATCCATTTTAAACCTTGAGGTGATGATCAAAGCAAAAAGCAAAAATTTTGCTGACATAATTTCAAAATCCTATAGCAAGGCCTGTAAAGCAAGACTGTAAAACAGCGAGATCTGAAGAAATTGCATTTTTGTTATTTTATAACCCAAACACATTTTTTTTTCTTGTCTCACATGGGAAAAAAATAATAGAAACAAAACCTACCATCCCTTAGTGATTTGATTGTTGGAAAGAGAAGGGAGAAAAGATCTCTGTTTTCTTGATGTCTTGTAGCTGCTATCCCATTATCATTATTTACAGTTCTTAAGAGATTGAGAAAACTAAAATTTGATGCATGATTATTCTATTCGAGATTTTAATGAGTCGAGCTATTCTAATCCTTTCACCCAATATCCTGTATGTTTTTTAATCAAACGTTGAGTGCCAAGTAGTTTGTAACATGTGGGGTTTTTTTAGAATTTTGTATTACACTGATGAGTTCACCTGAACTTTCTTTACAAATCTTTCACAGAGATTCATGAAATCAGCATCAAAATCAATTTTTGATTGGGGTTAAACTCTGACAGTTACGTGTCATAAGACAAGCATATGACATAAAATACCCATCCATTACACAGGAGAGAAGGTAGTGGTGGCAGAACAACAAAGTACAGTACAGGATGGATCCTGATTGTGCTGGTAAATCACAAACTCCTGTCAGCAGGCTTAAGGAGAAAGTAGCTGCGCACAAACACACCCTTTTCTTTATAAGAAAATAACTTCCAGAATTTGTTTTTGGCATTTATGTGTATTGCTTTCTGTGTTTAAAGTACTCTGCTTGTCTTCTCTTTGAACCTACTTGAATTGGAAAAAAATAATTACTTAATCATGGCCTCCAAAGGACTAGGGAGGGTTTGCTTCTGCTCTAATTTACATTAGAAATAATAGAGAATGCCAATTTCCTTCAGTACTTCAGCTAAAATTGGAAAAACAGACACATGTGTTCTGACAGCTCCCACTGGATAAGACTGGACAGCTGCTCTTCTTCCTAAGGTTTTGTTATGGGATAGAATTACTCTTTCATCCATAAAAACAGAAGGATGCCCCTTGCATGCTATAAAAATACTTAATACTTTAATATTTAGTAACATGAGCATTACAAAAGAAGATTTCTAAATGGCAACAGAGGTTCGAGCCAAGCAAAAAAAAAAAACATTTAACTTGATAATATTTTAGGCATCTATTTCACTTTTCTCCTGAAATCATTTTGCTAAGGTTTAAACCTTACAGTACTCCAGTCAACTCTACCTCCTCATGCTGTTTTTGTAAGCACTGCCAGCTGCGCTGCGGAAGGCAGCAGATCCCGGCTTGAGTGGGGATGGAATAAAAAAGGCTGTGTCTCCAGTGCCACATGTCCCATTGCACATGCACAGTGCTGAGCACAACTTAAAAGAAGAGCTGTTGGGCAGAGGCAGCTTTTTATTAGATTTATGTCCTTATTATTGTCTCTTTATTAGGGAACAAGGAGGACTTCCAATCTCTGTGTAAGTAAATGTTATCTTAGGACAGTCCCAACTTGCCCACTTGGACAACTACAGATGTAACTTGTGCTATACCTGAACACCTGAAACCTCGCAGTGTTTTGCAGAGCCAAAAGCGTCAGCAAAATGCAGTATACAACCAAGTTTATCCGCTGCGGAAGGGAGGTACCAGGAGCAGGCCAGACATGGCTAGGTGTGTAAATTTACATTATTTAAAGATTTTCCTGCACAAAAATGACCACACTGCTCACATGTGTTGGTGGGGTGATGTATGAGTAGTCCCCAGACCTGGTTGTTCACTAGTGCTATAGGTTTGTGTCTGTTCTTCTGAGCTTCAAGTGTGTTTATTGCCCCATCACTGAAACGGATGTTAAAAAAAAAAAAAAAAGTATTTTTCCTGCACAGACAGTAGGAAAGCTACCTGAAAATAACGGTGCTTTTAGATATGTGTGTGAATGAAGGACATGGAGAAAGATGTAATCGGGAAAACTGAATTGTGCACCTAGGAGTTAAAATGAGACCATAGCAAATGGTGGTCCCTAACCATACAGATGTGCACTGCTTAAATACATCTTGTGGGCACAATTCTCCACAACTTTTGTAATTGATGACTGAGAAATCAGCAGGACAATTCCTCTCTGGCTCCATAAAAGCACCATCGACACAGGGAGGTGGCCAGACAGTAACAGCATGTGATTGCTTCATATCCATTCTCTAATGTTTTTTCAAGATGCTTAAAGACTTTCAGACTCTAGATTTGAATTTAAGAATTATCTTTATTTCCCCTAAAACTTGGCTTTCCATGAATACATTATTTCCCCCAATAAACATCTGATCAAGGCTGTAGTATGCTGCGTGTAGTAAGTCACGCAGTAATCCAGCCTGGAGGTCTGATTGAACCTGCATCCACCCTGTTAGGTGGATTCAGTCTTCTTTGGATTTGGAACTGGAATAAACTGTAAGGAAACTCCAGATGTGTTAGCCCTTATGAACTGACTGATTCAACTGCAATGTTCTGCTTGAATGACCAAATCTTCAGGGTTATTGCTGAGTCTTCTGTTTAAACCAAGAGATGGCAATTTTTAGTACAGCTGTAGTTAGTAATGCCACTTAAGCAAGTGAAAGTGGACAAGAAACAGTGAGAGCAGTGCTCCAGCTGGCTGATACTGTCTTTTAAGCAATGGCAAAAGGATCACAAGAACCTGACCACCTCCTGAGGTCCCTTCTTCCACTGTCACTGACTCAAGCATGTTACGCAGTATCTCCCTACTTTTTTCTCCCTTTGATACCTGTTTAGGGTCAGAGCAATTTTTTTTAAAAAAAACTTCTGTGACTCTTTGCCCTCTGGTGACAAGGGTTTCCAAGACCTTTCACTTTTACTGCTGTGAAACATTCACTTTTGACACTGTGATGAAAGAGGCCAGCCTGACCCCTTGCATGGACGTAGATCTCCTTGCAATCACCAACACAGCTCACCAGCTGGATGGGATTTTAGAGCAGCAGCACTTCACCAGCCCCAGCAGGAAGCAGCGAGCAGAGGTGTCTGCTAACCAGCAGCTGCCAGACCCACATCCACCCTGTCTGGGGTGGTGCCAGCAGGGGCTGAGGCACCAGCTCCTGCCACAGCAGAGAAACGTTTCCCTTCAGCAAGGAGGGATCTTCTCATGGAAATGCCCGTGTACAAGGAGAAGAGGGAAACAGGAACAGTGCAGTGAGGGAGCTGCGCTCTGCGAGCAGAGGTGTCTGCTAACCAGCAGCTGCCAGACCCACATCCACCCTGTCTGGGGTGGTGCCAGCAGGGGCTGAGGCACCAGCTCCTGCCACAGCAGAGAAACGTTTCCCTTCAGCAAGGAGGGATCTTCTCATGGAAATGCCCGTGTACAAGGAGAAGAGGGAAACAGGAACAGTGCAGTGAGGGAGCTGCGCTCTTCCTGACCAGCCCTGCCGCACAGACGAGGCGGGCGCTAGCGGCGCCATCGCCAGGGCCCGGCCGCGCCACCCTCCTCCCAACATGGCGGGGGGGGGCCCCGCCCCCCGGGGGCGCCCCC